TCCGTGTTGCCTGGCCGCTTCCTCGAGCTCTGCGGCCCGCAAATCCCGGAGCGGATGAATCCTGGCGGGAGTGGGCGAGCCCGACTCTCAGGAGCAGCTCAGCCGCCTGCCACTCTGCCTCCGGGTTTCAAACCTCCCGCCAGCTCCCCTGCAAGCCCCGCCCCCCCCGAGGGCTGCGCGCATGCGCCTCGTGGGGAGACTGTCCCAGCCCCTAGCTTCCTGGCGGTGATGTATAGGAAGGGGAAGGTCTTGCCCACCTGTTGATAAATTCTCTGTTTAATCTCCCTGAAACACCGAACTAGTTAAAGGACTCATGCCGTCTGTAGTGTAAAAAGTTTCATTTTCAATGACCTGAGTACCATCTTTGTGTTCTATCATGTAGGATATAGTCTATTCCCAAGCTTAAAGAAAATAGTAATCTTAAAGGGATTCCCTTATAAGCAAATGGTTAGAATAACAGGCTTCATTTTGAAATGACTGGACTTGGAGTTTGGAGGCTAATATCAGCCACTAACTAGCTATGAGATGTTGATGAGTTACTAACACTCTCCAAGCTTCATTTTCTCATAAAAAAGCAGTAATAATAGTAGAGATAATAACTAATGTTTAGCGAGCACTTATCATGTAAGTGATGTATGATCCAAGTTTAGATGTATTATCAAAGTTAATCCTCCCTATAAGGTGAGTGTTATTATATAGCACTTATATGTATTTCCTCCTGGATTCTCACTAAAACTGTTATTTTTATAGGCATTTATTTTTGTAACCTGGAGACTAACAGTGGACTCCTCCTTTGCCCACCCCACCCCCCTTTACAATTAAAAAAGCTTTCTCTTACTTTATCCTTTGTGTCATTTGATGCTTACAACGGGCCCTGTTAGGTAGAAAGTAAGCAATATTATACAATTTATACCATAAGTAATCAGGTTCAAGAGAGGTTACCTGACTAGTCCAAGGCAACAAACAGCTAGTAACAGATGATGTTGGTTGGAACTGGAAACTATACAAGTTTAGTTCTTTCTACTACATCCAGTGGCAGGCTATGTGTACAAGAATATCGACTGCTCATCTTTCATTCATTCATTCATTCATCCCTAGTTGTTATACCAGCTGTTAACAGGATCCAACGAGCCCGCTGTGGTTCTAAAGAATCACCTTGAGTATATACAGCTGCCAAACCCCACCTCCTGGACTCAAATCTCTGGTCAATAACTATATCACTATCACAAATTGTTGACCTAATAAACTCTACTCTGAGGAAGTGGGGACACAGACTACTTGGGAGTGTGAACTCAGCTCAAGAAGGAATAACTAACAAAAAGTGTTAAAATATGGGTAAATCTAAAGGCACTTTGTCTAAATAACAATAACAAAAAAATGGATTGTATAAAACAATAATAATAGTCTCATGAGGTTAAAATACAGTGTATAGAAGTCCCCCCTTATCCGTAGTTTCAAGTTCCAAGGTTTTAGTTACCCTCTTCTGATTTGATTGACTACCTCTTCACATCAGAAGGAGACTCTATCATCTAAGCTAAGTTGATGTACACCTCATCATCAAGAACAAAGTTAATTAAACTACTGGGTTCAAAGAAACGTGACCTTGGCACTAATATAGTGTAGTTTTATTTTTTATCATTGCATTTCTATTGGGGGTTTTTAATAAAATAACCTAGAGAAAGGATCTAGTGAAGTCTAAAATAAGTTATCCATGCTTCTACATTTTTGCTTTCTGCAAAAGGATCAAAGATGAAAGCCATTTTTCTCTGCCAGTACTCACAATAAAAGGGATACATACTTGAAAGCCCTTTATACACATTCAGGACAAAGGGAAGCTGAAAATACTGACTTTCGTGAGATGCACACTTCAGCTCAGCAGGTGGTAGGTTTTCAGAGGTTCCTTTCTGACAACTGACCATCTTTGGACAGGAATTGGGATGAGCCCATCTCTGAGAAATCCTGCAGACAAGTCAGATACAGGGCCCAGGTCTTCAGAAGGAAACCCTGGTGCCCCGGAGTCTGAAGTTCCCTCTGGAATCTTCCATTCTTTTTTTTTTTTTTTTTTTTTTTTTTTTTTTTGAGAGAACCTATACACTTATAAATTATAGGACAATGGTTAACCATGTAGACAAGGAGCTGGAGGAAGGGTGCCTTATGTTTGAGACTGGTTATGTAACTGCTTAACAAACTGTCTATTGGTTCCTTTGCAGGGCTCTGAGTCAAAAGTAAGAATAAGAGCACAACAAACATGGTATTGTGGGTCAAACCAATTTCATTGCCAAAGGACAGTTCATGGCATCAGTAGTAGCTGCCCTTAAGATTATCATCTAAGGCTATAGAGGTACCCTGTACATTCCTAACTTCTTTCTATGAATTTCAATTTTTAAATTACTGAGTCACAGCAATAAGCATTTAAACTATTTTTGATAACTATCTTACATTGTTTTTCAAATGGGCTGTATTAATTTTACCATGCCACCAGCAGCATACATATATATATACTAAATTCATGACAACCTTGATGACATTTAGCAAAAGTAGGTTGTTGAGTGAATAACTGGTGGTTCAGTAAAGTTAAAATAGTACCTCAACATTGGCTTAATAAGCATTTCTTTGATTACTGGAGTTATCTCTTTATGCTGGCACAAAGCACTACAAGGTTTTCATGAGGAGACATGGGCATTTCCACTTAAATAATGTGACTATTTGAATAGGTCACCTGTTTCAAGATTTCTCCCTTCTTTTGTCCTCCATAGAAATCGACACATCCGGTCATTTTTTTTTTTTTTTTTTTTTTTTTTTTAATTTTTGGTTGTGTTGGGTCTTCGTTGCTGTGCACAGTCTTTCTCTAGTTGCGGCAAGCGGAGGCTACTCTTCGTTGCGATATGTGGGCTTCTCACTGCAGTGGCTTGTCTTGTTGCAGAGCACGGGCTCTAGGTGCCGGGGCTTCAGTAGTTGTGGCACGTGGGCTCAGTAGTTGTGGCTCACGGGCTTAGTTGCTTCACGGCACGTCGGATCTTCCCGGACCAGGGCTCGAACTGGTCGTGTTCCCTGCATTGGCAGGAGGATTCTTAACCACTGTACCACCAGGGAAGCCCTGGAATCTTCCATTCTTAACAGTACTGCATCAACATTTAGGGCAGAAGTGGATCTGTTTTCCTAGGAGTTCATGAATTTCAAAGGTGAGGCACAGATCGCTGAGTTACATTTTCCTTTATGGTGTTTCTACAAAAAAGAAAAAGAAAAAGAAAAAAGACAGTGGAGAGAGACTTGACTAGAACACATTAAATGTAGTAGAAAACTTTAAAACTTTATAATCTCCTAGTGAAAATATAAATCTCTAATTATTAGTATTAAAAGGGAATTTAGCATTTTCTTTAATAATAGCAAAATATGCTTTTCTCAAACTTAAAATTCTTAAAAATAAAGGTTTGATGTGTTCTAAAACGAAAATATTATTTGATGGTACAGAATAACTAACATGCTTGTCCTCAAAAACTTGAAATAATTGTAAAAACCATGAATACATGAATTAAGTGAATGACTGAAAAAGGAAGAAAGGGGGGAAAATGCAGTGAAAAATTGAAGAACTGAAATGATTTGCAAGAACAATAATGAATTATTTTAGTCTTGTGTCTTGGTCCTGTTTTACAGCAATAAAAATAGTACTTTATAGCTGACTGAATAAGTAATGTTCTTATCCTAATAAACTCAAATATGAGTTCAAATAAGAAGGATTTCTTGCGAGCGGAGGGGAGTTTTTACCTAGACCAGCCACTTCGCTTAATTGTCAGGAAATATGTTGTTCATTATCTTTAATCCTCCCAGGAGCTATGTAAAATTCAATCCGAAAAACCGAACAATACTGCCCTTCTGTGAGTAGAACAGATGAAACACAGTGAGACAGATCTCCAGGGAACAGCTTCTCTGCCACTGCCGGCTTTTTTTTTTTTTTTTAATGTTGTTTTCAGTTACCCCAGTAACTGCAATTTTAAAACGTAAGTTAGCGTCTCTCCCCGCCTTTGGTGTTTTGACTGCACTTAGTATCTACCTCTTCCTTCATTTATTGACAGTTGTTTACCATGTCCAATGACCAGCGACTTATAAAGGGGACTAGACGCACCGTTAGGAAGCAGGTCGTTCAAAAGAATTTTCTGTGGCCTGAAGTAAGTGCCCCTCAACACTCTGATTCAAAATGAAATTGCCTGAAATCCTTTTTGGAAGCAAAGGGCTGAACCCAAAAAGTGTCCACCATGGAAAAATGAACACAATATACCGTTAAACTGAAAAAAGTAGGGCACAAAGTTATATATGGCATGAACTCAAATTTGTTAAAAAGCCTCTATTCAGGGGACATATTCAAGCCAAGGCACATCAGTACAGCGACACTGGTTCCTGAAATACCGGATACTTCTGGATCCTTTGGAAAACAGCTGTGGTCTTAAACCTCCCTAGGCTTTGCTTGTCTCTCTCCCGGCACTACCTCTGGCCCTTTCCATCTTGCTTCCCCATTATGGGTTAACACTGGGCCCACTGCAGGGACCTTGGGATCTGCTCTAAACCTCTACTAATGTCCATTTTCATTGGTTGCCACCTCGGCAAATATTTTTATAAATATTTTAATATATTTTATATATTATTTTTAAAATATATATTTAATAT